CTGTTTTGTTGTCATTGCTATTTTTAACATTGTATTTTTCATCAATGTAAAGAACTTGTAATCCTGTGAAATGTTGCTAATGTTCGGACATTGGGTAACTCGTCCCCAACAGCTGCTTTCCCTGGGTGCAAATGAAAAAGTCTCATTGACAACCAGATGTGCTTTTTAATAGGCGTGCTGGCTCATGCAGTCCAGTTGAGATATGACTAATGGACACTTTTGCTGACTTCCCTAATCTCGCAAGGCTGGATGGGCAGCTTTGCAAAGTTGAAGGGAAAGTACTGGGGGCATCTCTGTAGCCAAACCACTTTCTGCTCAAATCCCCCTCCTCTTGTGAGCTCTCGCTCTCTGAATAAGTAAACTGCACGGTTGAGTTGTTTTCTAGCATCACAATCTCACTTTTGGACAACAGTCTTCACAGTGTGGGCCATCGGGTTTTTCTAAAAATGCTTGATTTTATATCTGTTCGATGTTTCATGAACAAACCCATAAACGTCTCCAAGTCCCTCCGCAGGAAAACCTCCTAAGAGCTCCGTGGTCATCAAGTATCTGAAAGGAAAATAAAGGAGGTAGGAAAGAATATATTTTTAAAGAGATGTTCTGCTGAGCTTCGTTACCCAGCGGTGAAGATGGTCTCTATCTTTGAGGTGACTGAGCTGCAGAGGCACTTCAAGACCCATGTTCCATTTCACGCTCCAGCTCCCACATTCAATTTTAATTGAAGAAAGTCTCTCCACTATCATGCAGAGACAGTGAGTTAGAGCAGGAAGAAAAGGATCTTAACCTTTGTTTAACTTTAACCAATACGCTCATTGGCCCTCATTTATCAAGTGATTATGGGAAAGGTACAGAATATAGTGGAAGTGATTCTTGGATGCTTGCTCAGCAGTTAAAATGAGCACAGATTATTTAATAGAATGAGAAGTCAGTGGCTGCCGTGATGTGAGAGTTGTGTGGCAATGGTACAACGGATCCAAAGTTAGGCCCTTTTGGTGACCCGAAGCTTATCAAAAGGAAATCTTAGAACGCAGCACACGTTCCAAGAAGCAAAAATTCATGAAATCTGTCTTCATCAGTTTTAGTCTGGCACCGGTCTTTAGAGTGTGATTCACAGCTTTCAAAGAAAAAAAGAAAACAACATGAAAACAAGCAATTTTCTGTTTCAATCGCAGACGGACATTCTCTGGGAGGTTTGTGTCTTAAGTGAAAAATGTTCTTTTACGCTGCTTAATGCTCCGGGACTCATCTCTGAAGCATCACGTCCTCGGAGGCCGTGTACCAGCCCCAACAGAGCTTAAAGATAAAGATCCAGTTCTGGTGAAGGAAGTGGAATTTATATTCTGTAGAGTCTGAGAGACAGCATGGTAAAGCTGGGGGCGAGAACAACACACAGGGACTTAAACAAAGAGTCTTCATCCAGTCTTGATCTTGCGATATGAACTCTCAGATGAGAAAAATGGTTTGATATGAATCATTATTAAGCAATAATAGTAATACAGTTGTTTTCCATGCGAGTATAATGGGTCATAATGGGTCTCTGTGAAAGATGGAAATCATAAATGCCAAGGTTTCAGTGTAATTAGGGATCAGAATTTATCATTTGATAGTAGAGTCGGTCAGGCAAGGAAAAGGACGTGAGACTATGTGATCGTACCAGCCCTCCCTACTCTGCGTAGGGGCTTCAAAATAAATACACGCTCATGTAAACGAGAACCTTTACATAATGTGCATTGATCTACATTTTCTTCCCTTTCCTCAAGCTAGAATCAGCATTTGGTATTTGACAGCATTGTCACTTTTTCAGCCTAAGGCCATTTGTCATTTATCAGGTTTTTCTTTTATGTTTTTTTTTTTGTTTGTTTACCCTCCAGCACGCTGAAGTGAATATCCCACGGTAAAATAGCTTTGCGCCAAGCACATTCCTCTGCACATTGTTTGTTTAGAAAAGATGTGAGGCAGCGAATGCTTCTCTGTGCCCTCAAAACATCAGACTGAGATAAAGAATGAGAAGACTTGGGCTGGGAATCATATCTGCTTGATCGGTACGGATCACTTAAACGGTGAGGATCAGACCGAAGACGAAGGAGAGATTAGCAGGATTGGCTGTCTCCCCAAGCGTTTCACACATGGAGGCGAGGATCAGATACATGCCTTCATTTCTCATCTGCGATTTCATCTACTCAGTCAAAGGAGGACGTGGTATTGATGAGTGATTGGATAACAACCTGTATATGCCTGTGACTCTCAATGGCTGACTAAGTATGGTTCCATTTTAGTCATTTAAAGGTCCCTTATGTTACACCTTTTCCAGTGTTTTATTGTATATCCATAAGAAGATATATTTGTGCTTTTAAGAACCAAACACCATCTTAGTGTAGTTTTATATCTCCTAGGCTTCTCTCTGGAGCTCTAGCAACAACAGGTCAGTGAGCCAATCAGAAGAGAGGTTCTTAGCCTCTTTCCTGATTGGCTGACTGTTTTATGAATGATCAAATAAAAATAAAGCAGATTTCAGGTAAACACTCAGAGAAACCAAATCCTGCAAGGTTGGATGGTGAGTCCAAGTGGGCGGGGCTTGAGGCATGGCTGAGAGCGGTAACTGCTTTGTTGTGACATCACAAAGTTACAGAATTCCTGACAGCTCATTTTAAGTCTGTTTCTGAATACAGGCTGTGTGCATTTATTTTTTGTTTATTTCCGAACACGTAAACTGTACGTTTAATTATATTATTGCTGTTTTATATGTCAGTTTTGCATTCAAGTAATAGAACTGTTTGCACAGACAAGGAAATCAAGATCAGGAGCTACTAAATATGCTTGAAATGTCAGATTTTATGTTTTTGTCTAACTTTATTTTGATAGAAGAAAAAAATTCAATTTGACTTTGGTCCCTTTGTGTATGGGGTTTCTGTCCGTATTGTCACGGCACACAATAAGGCAGATCATTCCACTAGAACAGCAAAAATAACACTCAATTCAATAAAAATGTGATTTGTAGGTGAAAATATCTCTGATGTCTTTCACTTTGTTGAAAGAAAAAAATGTCTTTTATGTGTGAGTGCGAAAATAAATGATTGGTGAAAACATTTCTGTAGGTATAGCAGACAATACTCGGTCAGTCATGTAGGGCTCTTTCTGTCTTCTTCTTTTTTTTTTTTTTGAACTTCTCCGTCTGTCAGTTTTTCCATAGGCTGTCTAGTGTGGGCCGCACATTGAATGCAAAACCCAGCTAATTACTTCCACCCAATCCCTCCACGTCTTAGCTCGCAGCAAACCCCCGTCCCTGACAAACACAGCAACAATATGAGTTGTCTCTCTTGTGAATGCCAAGTACCCAGAGCTGAATGAGAGCGTTTATTACCCTTTTTAATTATCAAACAGCAGGATGTCTGTCCCTGTAAACAATTTTCTGCCTTTAAGCAAAGTACAGAGAAATTAGTCCAAAGGAAATGGGTAGCACCTGTACAGAAGATGTTCCGACAAACGTAATATAATGTGGTCCTGTTGTGCTTGGCTGACGAGGTAGAAATGTGAGGTATCACAATAAATGAACGAGATTTTCTTTGTTTGTTTGTTCTTTGCTTTAGATTATTGCATTTCCCCATGAGGAATGGATTAGCTATATGATTTCATGGCTGTAACGGGTTAACAAATTATCAGTCTCGTTAGTGAGGTATCACTTTGGAAAATAGTCTGACAAACAACAGCAGCAGGCATGGAATACAAAACTCCACTCTGCAGCAGAAAACCTACTATTTCACCTCTGGGCTCTCTAGTTTTGGCTGTTTTCCAAGCTGAACTGTTTACTTAAAATGGACCTCTTCACCAACACCCACACTCACTATTCCTGCTCGCCCACACACACACTGTCCCCTCTCTGCTCCGCTGCTGATTGGCAGCACAGACCAACCTTATGTTTAGGCTAATCCCACCTTTGGTCACTTGTTTTTGGGAAACTTTTTCAGAGTAAATGTTGACCAAAGGCACCCGAGCATGAGCAGGATTCTGTACCGTGCTCCGCACAAAGAAAAGTCTCTCAGTACATTTTTGTAGAAAGATGGAGAATATAAAAACATTATCATCTCCTCAAAATGGTATGTTACACTGCTGGCAGCGTCACCAGAATTTAACTTAACTTGCCAATTATGTTACTTGTTATTTATCAGTGCATACATTATTATCTGGGATGAATGAGTTTTCATTTTACAAGACTAAGAGTCTATGCTATGCTATCAGCTCTGCAGGCTTCAGAGAAGTGCATTGAGCTGAATGCTAACTTCAGCATGCTAACATGCTCACAATGACAATGCTAACATGCTGATATTTAGCAGGTATAATGTTTGCCTTGTTCATCATGTTAGTGTAGCGTGTTAGCATGCAAACATTTGCTACTGTAATTAGCAATAAACATCACTAGCTATTACCATTGTTAATCAGGAAATAGCTTCTTCATAACTTCTTACAGTGTACAACAATGTAGACATTAGGAAGTTTGACTTTGATGCTGATTTTACCAGTGATTACTCGGCTTAAGAGCACATTGTAATACATGACGGCAGCTTGGAAAAGCAGCTTGGACACACACAAGCAGGCACATTCACACACATATTCACACACGCTAACGTGGCTGTTTCCCCAGGACTCCTCCAGTGTAACCACTGAACCGCTCCACAAGAGCAGCAGTTGACTGGTTGGTTGAGTGCCTTGCTTCAAGCAACAAAAAACCCCTCTATATTTAGACATCTTTCCTCAGTGTGATGAAACAATTCACAACTGTTCAGAACTGAGCATCACAACCAGGAAACAAGTAGGCCTATAATAAAATGAATTTATAGAAACTGAGTAAAGATTTTAAAACTTGATGGCGGTTAGGGTTGATGGCTAGACCACAAACATAACATCTAGTAAGATGTTTCTTGTTCAGTCATGTAACCCTCCCCAAGGACTTTGATAGCTCCGCTCTATCTTTCATCTCACTCCCCTCCTCTCCTCTTGTGCAGGTTACTGGTACTATGGGCAGCATGAAGAGTGGTTTGCACCAGCACCTTGCAAGGCTGGATGAGATCTTCGCCACACGGGGTGACTATGTGCAGACCCTGCAGTTCATGCAGCAGATGGCTGACAATGTGATCAAACAGCTGCTGGGCCTGCCTGACTGGGAGGAGGCCAAAGTGGACCTGGCATCCATCGCTGATCAAACGGCAAACATAGAGTACTACAGGTGAGGAACTGAGCAATACATGTGTCTGGCTTGTACAGAGCAGGGTGGCCAGGGGCTCACTCACTGTGATGCCTCAGATGTAGAGGTTTCGAGTTTAACAGGAAGTGAAAACCGCCCAAAATGGCACCCACCCAACTGGATTTTTTCCAAAGCTTAAAATTTTATTTACTGTTACCATGAATATTTTCAGGGGTTTAGTGCACCCATAATGCTGTGGGAGGCAAAATTGTACACATGTATTTCTGAAATGCAAATTAGTAGAGAACATTTTTAGAAATATAGTTATTAATATCTTACATAGCTATCCACGATGGTGCTACTTTATTTTGGAGAAGACATCTAAGCATAAGGGAAGCTGGGAGTATCACATATTTATGAACTTTAGAGTTATAATTACAAAATATAGATGATTCCTCACGATGCAAGATACACTTCAGCTTATAATATCATGTCTCTTTTTATAGCTACCATTACTGAGCAATTTGTTAGTTGAACACACAGCTGAATAGATAATTCATGTGTAGGTTGTTTCATTCTGCATGTTATGACCTGAATATATCACATGATTTTTAGTGGATGGGATGAAATAATGTGGTTGCATGTGTGTATCACCCACTTGTATGAATAAAACGTCCTTTGCACACATGGCTGTGTGGGACGAAGCATCCTATTAAATCATTAGCAGTCATTGCATCAACGCTTACCATGCATAGAGCCTAATGATACGGTGCAGTGGTCTTGACAACTACAGGATGTCATGAACTACTATCCAAGGCCTTGTCACATAACCGTTAAATTCATAGTCTTATCATCTTAGAGCAGAGACAGACCTGTGGCCCTTTTTTTTTTTCTCCTTTCCGTGGTTGTTTCTGTGGAGTCTGCAGGAACAGACAAGCCAGTGTGTTTGTATTGATCTGCAATGTGACTCCTCTGCTTTCCCGATAATTCAATACCCCTCATTGCGTCACACTAATAGAGTAGACAGACCGAAAGCAGACAGCCAGACATTGTAAGCTGTTAATGGACTAATTAGCACCGCCTCACCCAAGCAAATTGTTTGTGTGTGTGAGTTTTGGGAGTGTGTGTTCACATGTGTTTGATCGGACTTATCAAAGTCTAAGTGTTGTTTTCTCAGTGCTGGCTGTCTTCAGTGTATTCATCCAGAAATATTTTGTTTACTTTCCAACTTGCACACAGTGTTTGTCATGTTACTGTACTGAGTCATAAAATACAAATTGCAGAGCACTGATACAGCCATCATCCATTCCAGGAATTGCTCCACATTCCTTTTAATAGTGTCCCAAAGCAAACAGACTCTTTATATTTTTATTATTTTTTTAGTCTGAATTTTCACTCAGTCTTTGATGTTTTACATTTTGGCATGAACAGTTCCTAAGTCTAGATTTGCTACTAAGGGTACCCAACAAGAGAATGTAATTTGGTCAAACAGATCCTTTGTCTCAATTAAAGGTCACATAATTTATAAAGTGAGCTTTCCCTATCTTTTCTGATTATAAAGAAGGTATAGGTTTCATATTAATACGGTGAAAATATCAAAGTGCTCAGTCCACAGAGAAATGTACACAGTCTGTATTCAGAAACTGAGCCTTAAAACAAGCCATCAGGACTTCTGTCACATTGTGATGTCACAACAAAACAGTCACTGCCCTCAGCCATGTCCCAAGCCCCGTCCACCTGGACCCACCATGAGTGTTTACCTGAAGTCTGGTATACTTTTATTCGATCACTCAGAAACAGTCAGAGCCTCTTTTCTGATTGGCTCACCGACCTGTTGTCGCTAGAGCTCCAGAGAGAAGCCATAGAAAGAAGATGTAATACAACATTGAGAAATATATCCTCTTACGGATATCAGAACTTCAAATAAAAAAAGTGTAAAAAATGCAACCTTAAATGGTTGCTGTGATCGTGTTATACCCCTACTTTGTGATTTGGGTGCAAACACAGGGGAATTTGAATGTAAAAAAAAAAGTGTAAAATCTTGCTGCTAAAGCTGTACTTTGAGTGGAGTGAAACCCAAGGTTCAATATCAAGTCTAAGATAACTAAAAACCTGAAGTATATGGGAAAATTCAACTAGCCCTTACAGATATAGAGCTAATGTGTAGATGACAGTGACCTCTGAGCTCTCTGTGAGGGGAGGTTTTTGTCAGGTTGTTATTATCAATCTTTTAAATTGAAGCTGGCATACTTAGAAGGGCTCTCAGCTATCCAACACAATTTCTTGAAGAAAAGTGCTTTTCTATTATACATTCATGTAACCTCCCATCCCCACGTGTCTCTGTGCTCTACTCACTCTAATTAGATTAAGATAACACAGACAAACACAGTGGCAGTGTTACCCAAGAGCCTCCATGTGCATGTTGACGTCCCAGCTTCTTGTACTGTACGAATTAGATGAAGATGAAATGAGGAAGAAATAGCGAGGAGGTGGTGGCGTGGGAGAGAAGGGCAAGGGAGAGAGAAAGGGCTGACAGGGAAAGAGAGAGAGGACAGAAAGATTAAAGAGAGTAGATGAGAGGAGGAAGAATAAAGGGAAAGATAGAGGAGAGCATGAGAGATGGGGGGTCATGTGGGAAGGATTCTGTATATTGATGGAGACGGATTGATGGGAAGTAAAAAATAATAATTAAAAAGATAACAAGACTGTGCACAGTGATGTAGGAGGGATGAGTGCAAGAGGAATGATGGGAAAAGAGAGGAAGATGAACACTGATGGAATAGAAGAAGATAATTAGAGGAGAGGAAAGAAAAAAAACGGGGTGACTTTAATTAGATATATATATCACTAGTTCAGGGTGAAAAGGTGATATAACCTCCCCTCAAGTTAGTTTTTTCACAGCATAAAACATTCAGCCGTATGGATTTGAGCTCATTCATTATTAACCATCTGGAGAGGCCCTCTGTGTCCAGTCACAAACTGACCACTGCCCACATAACAGATGGATACACTGAGGAGGGCAATGCCACACAGGAGTATACCCTCAAGCATGAACACACACTGTGCCTGTTGAGGTGAAAATAAGTGGGACACTCTTGCCTTTTGGTTTCTGGCTCCTGCATGTTTTCTCAAAAAGTCACAAGAGCTTTACAATTCTGTTCTTTTACAAGATGAATCTTGAATCTAGTTTTGTTAGCCATTGTTTCTGTCAGTTACCTCTCCTCTCCTCTGATTAAGTGTTGCTAAAGCTATAGCTGGTTAGGATGTTGTGGCTGAGCAGTGTAGTGTAGTTTACAATGGTCGAAACTCATTAAAGAGATTTTCAACAGTGGTTATGTGTTTTTACAACAAAACAAACAAGAATGGGCATTTTTAGATGACAACCACTGATTTTTTCAGCTGAAATGGCAACAGTTGCGGGCAGATTCTGTTAGCTGTAGCTAGCTAAGCTAATTAACACTAACTCCGTCAGTTTGCATAAAACTCTGTCTTCAGATGACATTTTTATGCTGACATATTTTAAATTGAGATCCATGTGAAAGGGTCACAAATACTCACTTGATGGCTGTAACATTAATGCTGAAAGACTTGAGGCTAAAGCTACATGTGCCCAACCAGATAAAGGGCAGGTCAGAGCCATAAACTTTAGCCTAAACTCTGCTATAGTATTCTGGTTCTCACACAGTGCATGTGACAGTCCTGAACGGGGCTTTTGGCCACACAACCTGGCTCTGAAAGTAATGTTACTATTCTTACGTTATCTAGACCAGGCTGAATAGTAAGATAATTAGCAGGACATGCTATGTATAATGGGTTAGGGTATAGAGTATAATGTTTTTTAACTAAAAATAATTATGGCAAAACCTACAAAAATAAGACTGTCCATGCTTTGCCAAAACAGACATTCATCAGTTGCAGTTTAATTTTCTGTCCCTGTCTGTATCTGCAGGTGGCTCACCTACCTGCTGCTCCTGATCCTGGACCTGATCATCTGCCTGCTGGCCTGTCTGGGCCTGGCCAAGCAGTCTCGCTGGCTGCTAACCACGTGAGTGCAATATGCCCTGTAACTGTAACTGTTTTTTTTTTTTGTTGTTGTTGTAATTTTTTTTACAAAGACACAAGCTGCTTTTTTCCTTACAATGAACAAAACAATCCATTCCGTTTTTTATGTTTTTTTTCTCCACATCCTACACGCCAGGAAGGAAAGACAAAGATTGAAGAGGCAGGGGCAGGACTGAGACAGAAGGGGTGGGCAGTCAGATTAGCACTCTAAGTGAATCACAGCTAACTGGGAGCCATCATCATTCTTTTTGTTTCTGTGACATTAGTGCTGCGGCAGCTGTAACAGATTCCATTGTTTTTCCAGATGTTATAGCATCTAACGGAATATGCACATTGTAACACAATACTCACTTCTCCAAATTGACCACTAGATTATTCATTGTACATTCTCTTGGCTAAACACAGACCAAATGTATTATCTGTTTTCTTCTAGTTACTCCAATGCATTTACTTAATGTATAAAACATTGAAAGGTTTTAAAAACTGCGCTTCCCACCACCGCTGTAAACTTGTTATCCTGAGGAGGATAATTTTTATTGTAGAGAATAAGATGAATTAGTGTACACAGAGGGAGCATGAAGAAAGAGTTACTTCTCCTCCCATCAGAGAGAACAAGGCAGCTAAGTATTGGACCATGTCCTTCTACAAACACTGCTCAACTAGCCCTGTTACATTTCACCATTTGCCTTTCAGCATTGCCAGCGGTAGGTTGAACTTGCTCGAGTGTTACCGTCTCATTAGCTTTGCTCAGCAAATTCGAGAGATGGGAGCGAAGCCATTTGATTATATCAATACAACTTCCTGAAAACTGTTATTCCATCTTAACACTTGACCTGCTTTAAATTGCTTCAGACATGAATTACACTCTATATCAGCCAATGTACTGTATCTCCGGAGCCTAGTATGGTATATGATTAATTATTTAGGTTTGTATTTCTAGGGGCCTTTTTTTCAAATTAATATTTTATTGATTTGACCTTTTATAAGTGACAAGGAAGCAAGATAAATAAGTAATAAATAACCACATGCAGTGTAAGTTAAAGCAACCAAACATGATATAAGAAAAATTGTTATTATAGTACAAAGAGTTTTTTGGCCATTTAAAAGTGCTGAAAGAAATTTCAATGATAACAGGATGTTGGTATGACAGAATTATGACATAAAAAACCCATATGTGATGATACATTACACACAAATACTGAACTGTATGTGCACTATATATTCACAAGCAGTACCTCCACTTTCATTTAATCTTCTTAAAGTATCTATAGCTGAAGTGCATCCATCTCTAATGGGATGTGATTTTTTTTTTTTCCTCCTCCCGCTGTAAAGGAGCTTCCATGGGGCTTGAAATCCACCCGAGCCTCCATTCATCCAGCCAAGCGTCACTCTGTCTTTCTCAATCAGTCAGTTCAGGGCATGAGCCGTGCTGAACTTGCCCTACGAGCCACAAACCCAACCCCCCACTTCACCCTCCAACCCCGTTACGCGCACAAGATGAGTCAGTGTCAAAAGTGTCTGCCCTCCCAAGAGATGCTCTCTTCCAGTAGAATGGATGTAGTTGGAGGCATTCGGGAGCAGATTACACTCTGTGGTCCTATACCGACTCTTTCTGGTGCTTGCAGCTGGCTGACCCCCCCTGTTAGCACCACACTCAGTAACAGCTTAGACAAGGAGATATGTGAGAGAGAAAGAGATATCCACAGACCTTGCTGACAGTAGTTTTTATTTGGATTTCTTTACGGGCTATTTCTGTTTGTGGAGGGAAATATTGTTGTTTCTCACTTGGCATTTTTTTTATGCTTTGACCACATTTATCTCCATTGTAGCCGGGTTGTGGTAAAAATGACATCTCAAAGCCTGAGTACATAACAAAGCAACTCTTAGGTGAACTGAACCTTAAAATGTTGTGATGTAAATACAGCATGAACTCATTTTAAGCTTCATTTTATGTATTGAAATACTTGTGTGCCCCTCATGGAGACAGAGAAAGGAAAATAATTCCCCTGGATGACAGAAATCATCAGAGCTCTCATGAGCAGGGACCTACAGCAAGAGGAATTGCTATAAAAATAAACAATGCAAATAAGTGAGATCTGCTTCAATTACAATGAAACTAAATCACAGCATTAACAAGGAAAGAAAGAAAAATATATATTTTACTACCTGGAGGAAGTGAGTTGTAATAGAAGCTGCGTGTGGAAAGTAATAAAAGTTTTACAGGGGAAAGCCAGAGCTCTTCAGGTAACCTTGAATGTCCAAACTCACTAGCATAAAAAGCCTGAGGAAATGGCAGCTGAGTTCAGCAACTAGTTTTCCACTTGTGCATTTGAGCATGCTGATCAAATATCTGCTGTCTGAATAAAAGTATTGTAATATATGCAAGAGAGTACTTTCAGTTTGAAACCAGATGAATGTCAAGACGACTGCTAGTCTAGACAGAATCCTCCCGAGGCAGCAGTGACTCTTATGTATGACTGACTTGCAACAGTCAGTATGTTTTGAGAGAAATGTGATGACAGCTGAATTATGTTTTTATCAATATAATGAGGAAATGCTTTTAATTGACATATCTGCCAAATGTTCACTGACGGTCTTTGTCAAAAATTCAACAGTGACTGGAAGCATTTACTTTATTAAGTTTAAACCAGTCTTTCCCCAACCTTAAAGGTACCATATTGTATAAAGTGTCTTTTTTTATTACAAAGCAGGTCTAGGTTCTATCTTAATACTGTGAAAGAATCAAAGCACTCAGTCCACAGAGAAATGCACACAGCCTGTATTCAGAAACTGAGCCTTAAAATGAGCTATCAGGACTTCTGGAACTTTGTGATGTCACAGCAGAGCAGTCACCGCTCTCAGCCATACCCCAAGCCCAGCTCAGCCAGACCCACCATCCAACCTTGCAGCACTTGGTGTCTCTGACTGTTCACCTGAAATCTGCTATATTTGTATTTAATCACTCAGAAAACAGTCAGCAATCAGAAAACAGGCTCACTGACCTGTTTTTGCTATAGCGCTCCAGAGAGAAGCCTGAGAGAGGAGATGTAAAACTACATTGAGATGGTTTTTGGTTCCTAAAACCGCAAATGTATCTTCTTATGGATATCAACACTTCAAATAAAACACAGAAAAGTGTAAAATATGGGACCTTTAACCAAAGCTATTGTTGCCAAAATCCTGTCACACAGGGTGAATCAGGATGCAAAACCAGTTCTTTGGTGCCCTGTGCCTTGTATGCCCACCGTTCACCCCAAATAAACTCCCTATAGCTTATGTGCGGGATAAAAATGTACCATTTCTTAAATACAAAAAAGTTGCCAGTGAACATAATCCAGTCAACAGCTACAATGCCCTAAAACTGTATTTGGCCAATAAAAGAATATACAAATACTGAGTCAGTATTTTCTCTAATTGGCCAGTCCAACCTTGTCCCACATCGGTACCACAGGGAAGTGTACTTGGGCCTTCATAGTTTTTCTTATACTGACTTTAGTATCTTCCAACCCACTGAACGAAGTACATAATCTATATGTATGGAGATGACTTAGTTTTTTCATATTAATTGAGTTAGCAGGAGTGGTACAGCCACAGTTCAGCTGCTTCACATCCAGGTCACTTCAGGTTGTTGATTTGAAAAAACTCAAGATGAGAGGCAGGTGGTTTGATGATTTATTAAAACTGCAGCTTCCCTTACCAAGAAATTCAAACTTTGATGTGAAAGCTCCAGAGTGATAGCAAAGGTGTAATAATACATTTACTTCTAGGACACATATAGTCAATATGATCACTTCACAAGCCATTAAGTGTGATGTTGAGAAAAGGCAGCTTGTGAAAGGAAAACTCCTTAAATCAGTAAAGGCTAAGTGTCTTATATTGATAGCTGAGAAATTCTTCACAGCAAAGTCACAATGTGTGAGAAAGTTTGTTATAATTTGCTTAAGACTCATAAACACAACATAATGAGGTGCGTTCTAAGTTACTCACAAATAGTATCTGAGATGATCACAAGGCCGAAGCCAAAATTAGAACCTGAGAGAAAAATGTGATTATAACAGCAATTTACAGCTAAAGATTCAAGTTTTTTTCTTCTTCAGTAGAGAAGAAAAAACAACTTCCCACACTGATTTAATTCAGAGTGACTTGACCCCATCTTCAGTGAGTGCATTTGCTAGCATTCATCTGCCCTGCTCATTGGCCTCTGTGACTTTTTCACTTGATGTGCTTTGCGTCAGGCTTACACCCGATTTGCTGCTGTTCTGTGTAGCTCAGTGACTCCCCTTTGCCCACCAGAGCACAAAACTGAACACAGTCTTGCTCAGTTTGAATGTGACCTGCTGACCATTTGCCCAGGCACACTGTGTTCACGGTTGTTTAAAGAAGCTCACGCAGTCCCGTATTGCACTCCCTGCAACAACAAACTGTGAAATAGGCATGGCCTGGCAGAAACACAGGCCACTAGTTCTCAACCTTTTTTTGTTGTGACCAGTTCAACCAAAGAAGTTTTTTTTTTTTTCAGATGGTTTTATTTGAAGGATTTTTATAAGCATGTTGAGATGAAAGTATTCAATATTTCACAAGAAGAAGCATAAATTAGAGAGATCAAATATTATTATGTTAAACAGTCTTCCTGTCCCTTTGATCATCTTGTGATCCCTCGCATTTATATTGGGACAGCTTTGGTAACCCTCAATCATAGATAATGTTGGAAACCACTGCCACAGATTCATGTATGTATGAAACATGTAAACAAACAAACAGCAGGCACATAAAATGGGTTAAAGCAAGGCACAGAAATAGCACTGGTGTATACTGTTCTCTTGAAGAATCGTGTTGAGAGTGCACTTAAAACAGAATAAATAGACAGAAAACTAATTAATGAGAAAACAAACAAACAGCAGAACACAGTTAAAAACTGTTCAGAGTGCAGTAGATTGTGATCATGGTTTTAAATTGGCTGATAGGTACAATTGTGTTTAGTTTTGCACATCAGACTTCACGTCAATTACTTGAATGGGTCAAATAAAGACTATGGGACCAGTTTAATAAGGAAGTAATGTATGATGACATGTTGCCATTTAGGGATAAAAGATAATAAATAGAAACCAATGTATATCATGTCTTACTGTTCGAGATGCTAGGGGTCTTATCCAACCAGATTCTGAGATGTTTCTATTCCAAGACCCTCTCAATACTAAACCCTTTTAGAGTGGTAATCTGCAAACCATTGTACCCACTATGTCTGGCTCTAGAAAAGGTTTGTTGTATGATTTCAATGGAAGAGTGTATAGTATTAACAGAGCAATACAGAACTGTGTCATGGATAAAGATTGACATTACAGTTTGTTATAGAGGATGTAATATGGTTAATATAAATTGTGAACAACACAGGACCGAGTATTGAACCTTGTGGAACCCCATTTGACAGTGTTATAAATACAAAACGATCATTTCCCAAGATCTCGCATTGCTGTCTATGAGACAGATAGTTCTGAAACCATTTACAGGACTTAGAATCAAAACCAGTATCACATAGCCTTTGTAGGACCATAACATAGTCAGCACTGTCAAATGCTTTTGTTAAATCAACAAAGAGGGCAGCACAATATCAGCCTTTGTCAACAGCATATAGAATAGCATTTGTAACAACATTAGTAACAGTGACAGTACTATGTTTGGCTCTGAAATTAGATTGTTGTGGACTAAAAAATAATTTTTCAGAGGAATGATTTGAGCTGGATTCTGGGACTCTAGCAAGACAGGACAGTGTAGAAATTGGGCTGGTAGTTGTTGACGTAGATAAAGACATTCCTGTGGTGAATCACACTAAAACAATAAGACAGTAGAACAACTCTTCCATCTCTTCTGTTTTTCGATTTTAAATCGTGATAAGCACTCTGTGCAGCCTTTCTTCTCCTTCCTATCTTGTTACCCATTAAGTTTCAGGACTCAGTGAGGGCTCTGTATCAGATGGAAGGAGGGAGACAGACTACACGAGTGAAAAAACTGATAAAGAGGGAGGCAGAAGGCAAAGAAAAAGATATGGGGGCAAGGGCAAAGGGAATAGAGAAAGTGAGAAATGGAAAAATAAAAGATAGAGGAAGAAGGATGGAGGTGTTGGTGGTGAGTGTTAGGAGCTCGCCCCGTACCTTCTCAGCACATTGTGAATTGGGTTAACCATGGAGTCGAAGAATGTTGTAAAGATGAACAGGCTGGTACAAAGCCTGGGCATACATACATAAATTATACTGAAACACTGGTGGCACACTGTAGGGTAAAATCAAAAGTGCCACCGTGGTCAAATCAACAGGAGCTTATTGGATTTTCTGGAGATTATTTTCCCTAATGAGTGCTGATCTATGATAGGACCAGTCTTCATCTTTTAATGGGTATTGATCTTCTATCATACTTAATACACTCAGGCAGGCACATCACTGCTCCCCTGCATGCAGAAACATACACCCAATTCTTCCAATCTCTGCCCCCACTTATTGTCACATGTCTCTGATGTCATTTTCTGATAGTATTAGATCATCTGGGAGGGAGCCCTCTGCAAAATAAAACCACATTTTTATAACCTGATGGGTGCGGGAGCAGCCTTCCACCCAGGGGGGCTGTAATCGAATGTAGGAGCCAGCGGAGCGGACATGCTCGGCTGCTTGTTCCCGGGGTTCATAAAGCCACGCCGCTGCAGCTGCACTGTATGTTGATGCTGTAGAATCAACTCCCACAGAAATAAACATGACCTCTGACTTTTTTGCTGATGACAAGCCAGTGAGATCACCACTCCTACCCCTTGGGGGCTCACGCCGTTTCCTTTCAATAGCAGAGGCCGTTATGAAAATACTTCCATGTGCGTCACTGTATTCCCTCTGCAGGGTGCTGATAACTATATTAACTGCAAAATTCCTGCTTTTTTTGCTTTCGTTTTGAGAGTGTCCATGCATTTCTCATCTGTGTGTATTATGGATTGTGTTGCTGCTTCTTCATGTCTTATGAAAAGACCAACTTGAAGCACCTATAACTGCAATTTCTACAGAACTTTATTGTGTCTTTTAACACATTATTAAGATTTCCCTGGCCCCATGATTTCTGCTTTTTGTTCCCTCTCATCAGAGTCTTTTTTAAATAGCAGTAGGCAGCTTGTTTCAGCTCTCAACAGGCTCTTTAATAAAAACACTCTTTGCTACCTGTCCACCACCAAGCACCAAGCAGACAAAGTTGGTGCCTAGCTGGGGAAAATAGTGGAGCATTTAGTTGCTAAAAGGGCCAGATATTTTTCTGTTGGAATAGAGCTAAAAAAGAGAGCACTTACATTCATTACATGGACACAAACACAGCTTCAATTGAATGCTAATGTCGCTCTGCATTTGTAAATTAGCAGCTGTTTACCAGCAAGTCTGACATATCAATTTAAAAGGTGATGATGTGTCTGTGTCGTGTTTACAGCTTGTTTCAGCTATGGCAGGCTTAAATGTCGAACCCTAGCTACTCTCCCGGTCTGCTAATGGTGTGATTTGAGGAATGAATAGTATCCCCTCGTAATCAATACAAATTATTGGAAATTACTTACTGCAAAGTGGTACATGGGATGTAAATCATTAATCATTGTGTTTCAGTTGGATAAATACCAAGCTTTACCAAGCCATCAAAGTCCTGGTTGCTGAGTCTTCAGTTGACCACATCCACTGACTATTGTAATGAGCTGCACTGTGACCTTTGCTGTTGCTTTGTGTCCCTACAGGATGATGGTGTTTGGAGTGCTGACTCTCGTCCTGAGCTGGACGTCTCTGGGAGCTGACCTGGCCACTGCTGTGGTGAGCTGCTTCACTTCCTCTCCCCCTCTGACTAACAGTCTGACCCGATATAAACTAGCATAACCCGGTCTGCAATCAATTCTTATCGTGCCTGACAGTGATGATGAATTGCTTTAACTACACGCACGCTGCACTTGAAAAATGTCTTTCCCTGTGTGGGGGAGGGGGACGATTATACACTGCGTGCATGCAGTGCCATATGTGCTTATTTGTATATACATGCTTGCATTAAAAAAAAAAAAAACATCTGCAGGGTGTCGGCACACAACCATCTGAGCATCACATTAGTTAAAGGTTTTCCCACATACTGTGCAATCTCACATACAAATGTGCACCTTTTATTAATGAACGCATTTACATAAGATGCATTTGAGTGTGGCTCTTTGCAGCAAACAACATTTCATTGGAGCCTTTTCATTCAAAATCATTGCATAGCTGCTCATTAAGTGTCTTTCTAGCCTCTCTAGTCTTAATAAAATTTTTCTAGAAAAGTCTAGTTGTAAAATGTGAGTGAGCTAGAAAGAGCCCTCACAGCCATGCAGTGTCATCTAAAAAGGAATTAGCACCTCCTCGCTGCCCCGTCTTGAGTCTTTCTGATCTGAGTTTGTCTTTCTGACACCTCTTGCGCTTTTGATCTATGCTGTCAAACAGTGCACCTCTAAAAAATAGGCCGACAAAAGAACAAAATTCCCAAGCCCACACCTTGTCAGCATCATGATTCAAGCCCGAAAAGGTTGATTCATAGTGAAGGATTGCGACAAAAAGAATCTAATTGGAGCTTTTAAAGTTTATCATACTGAATAGGTAAATAATTTCAGCGGTCTGCTCTATTATGGCCTTTCTGCAAAAAAAAAAAAAAGCCACACTAACATTTGAATGACCTAAAGAGGAAGAATCAATGTGATATGTGAAAATAGAGAGAAGCATTTCAAAGAATGAATACTAGATGGAGGAGCACTTGGTGTTTGACTCACCTGCCTCAGGCCTGCGTGCTATTTTTCCCAGGTTTGTTGTTGGATGTTGTGTTTTGACTCGGGGCTGCAGAGGATTGTTAACATGTGCGAATTTAAGTAGGAGATAATGAGCATCGGGTAAAAAGCAGCATGAGGTGTGATGAGTTACAGCATATTAGTCTCTAGTGTCATCCTCCCTTCACATCTGCCACTTCAGTGGCTCCTTTATAAGTCTCTGGTCTCTGTGATCTACGATGGTTGAAAATCCTGGTGGAGTCCTTTGATGCCAAAGCCATGACATGCGGGAAAACCAGGACATGCAGTCCAAACTCCTACGAGCAAACGACATACAGATGATTCACAGTGCAGTCAGCCTGTTACCTTATGACATATAGTGTGTGAAGGTGGAAAAGTGACATCACCAAAAATCAAAAGTGTTTCATTCTCTGGGGAACGTGAATATCCACAACAAATGTCATGGCAATCCAGCCATTAGTTACCTTCCATAAAATGTTGAGAGTTTGGCTAAAGGGCAGCCCTTTCAGGAATTTCTTCAAGTTGTATGTGTGGGAATTGCTGCCTGTAGGAAGCAGTAGGGGAAAGGTCACCAAAAATACAACGATCCATCCTTTGGGGCACCATGAGTATCTGCAGACATCAATGCTAGGCCACCGCCCAAATGTGGAAATTCAAGGCATCATCAAAATCTGCTGAAATGATCATCTGGAGAAAAAAACCATCTGTACCAAATTTAACTCTCCCTTTGCTCTTCAGCTCTACGTGGTGAATTATATTGCTTTATAGAAACTACCTGACACAAACCCTTAACAACCACACAGGTCGTTTTTTTTTTTTTTTATTCAACCCTCTCATACGACCCATAGGAGTGTCTCCTGAAATAGCGGCCCCTGTGGCGGCAGGCGAACCGGACCTTGATTGTCATGGTTACAATAAATAAACACTCAGATTTGCTGCGCTTGACTGCACTGTATGGTTGACATCCACTGGGCCTTTGCTACTACAGCTAGTCATTTTTTGGGTGGCTTTCAGAGGCTACAGACCATAGCAAACACCAGACAGGTCATCTGGTCATTGCAGGGCTAAAATAAATTGTCATTCACACCTGTGGGCAACTCTCCACACCAGCTGGCTCTAATAGTTTTGGACTGTTGAAGGGGAACTGGAGCAGCTGTAGGAGGCTTTACCACTTAGCCATCACCCAGCTCCAAACATACTGCTGCCACCTGAAAATGTCCAAAAAAAATAAAAAATCCCTGAAATGTTTTCCTCACTCTCGCCGACCTCCTCCGCCCTGACTAAGGGTTGAGCTCATGAAAATGTATTTGCCACTGCAGCCAGACTGCTGCGTCCCACTTTAAATGAGAACGAGCGTGTTTGCTGTGCTCTAATGATGTCAGACAACCTCCACATCCAGGGGAACAACAAACCTGCACCACACTGTGGTGTATGTGTTTGCAGACAGTGTATTTGTTTGTCTTGCTGAGGATCTTGGTGTGTGGCTTCGCTCTGTGTTTACAGGTGTGTATGTCGGGTGTTTTTTTTTTTTGTTTTTTTTTTTTTGCTTAACTGACTGCAGATATTCGTGTGTGGTTCCTACATGGGAATCTTCAAATTGTGTGTGCGTGTGTATGTAGGCTACAGTTAAATTAGTGCCTTAGTACACAGTAAATTAATGCATAATGAATGCAGCCCTTCACAGAACTCTTTAATTACAGACAGCGGGAAGTCAGAACTCTGCATTCTCAAAGAATCACTGTTTTGCCTTTAAGAATTCTAACAAACTTGCTACTGAATTGCAGAGCTCCTTGGCATCCCTTGTTTCTAACAAACTGGCTCGGGTTTGCTGAGGAACTCGGCTTACTTTATCTCATCTGTGTGTGGGGCTCATTAGCGTACCCCCCTGAGAAGGTTAAGCTACACGCAGTGTGTTTGTCCTGAGCCTTAGGGACGTTTAGCATTCAGACGGCACAGTTCGGAGAAGACGGCCTCTCCTCCCTTTTTTTTTTTTTTTTTTTTTTTTTGCTAAGGCAGGTTACTTGTTAGCGATGTGCAGTGGAGTGAAAGTGGTTGTGAGTGACAGAACTGAAAAGTTTTCCCGTCTAGACATGTTTAAGTGGATTATAAGTGCTGCCCTCTTTATTTTTCTTTTTGCGTCAAAAGTGATGAAGATGATAGTCATCATTATTATTCGGCTTCGTCAAAGGGACTTTTGAAGTGTTAATGAAATATTAATGTCAGGTAGAGTACTTGGTAGTTGACACTCTAATTCATTTCTTCTCTGAAGTTCTGTTTTCATCCTCCTTATTTCATGAACCTTTCACTCTGCTCAGCTGTGTCTTCGTTGTGTGTTCGCTGCTCTCACACGTCTCCTGTTTTATTTCAGGGTACAAGTGATTTCTGTGTGTCCCCTGACAAGTACCTCATGAGCCAGACGAAGACTATCATCAGTGCTGGTGAGCTTCAGTGTGAATAATATGACGAATGTTGCATTAATGATGTTGTAAAAGCTGCGGCCATGACACTAATTGTGTTTTAGTTAAGAGAAAAATGAATGAATGAAGATGAATTTCATCAGCATCTTCTCCTCTGTGTGTGTGTGTGTGTGTGTGTGTGTGTGTGTGTGTGTGTGTGTGTGTGTGTGTGTGTTTGTGTGTGTGCGCGCGTGTTCTCCACAGATATTGTTCATTACTACCTTTACTGCAACCAGACTCTCTCCAACCCCTTCCAGCAGGTAAGAAACGTGTGTCAAACTTGAGGATGAGCTTCTAAATGTTGACTGATACGACCTTGTAAACAGTCATTCATTCATTGTGACTTACAGGTCATAAGACCTTAATGTTTCAAGGCTAAAACACGGCTAAGTGTGGCTGAAATATTAGTATTTTGTAGACATTAGGCAAGGGGCGAAGCTGTAACTGAGGACACTGATGTCATGCCATCTGCATTTTTTCCGGCAATTTGACTACACATTAGTAAGTCTACAGGCTCCCAGTATGTTTTTACTAAATACACCTGAATTTGACTTATATCTTACTTTGGAACCAAGTTTTGATCTCTTTGATGTTTTTGTTTAAAAAAAAAAAAAAAAAAAGATTAAAATGTGTGTGTTTCATAAAGACTTTTGCCTGAATAAGACTGAATAAGGAAGGTTTCCTGATTTAAATTAGGAAATATCTGAAAGAATACATAATCAAGCGTAGGAATCCAGCCAATCATTCAATCATTCATGATATTTGATGCTCTACCACATGTTGGTCATTATTCAGGATGTATTAAGGTTTGATACCCAGTGGCTACAGCCTGTTTGTATATAGGTTACATAAAGCCATTGTTTCAACCTCATTTAAATCCAATCTAAAGTTAAAGCAGGACCTAACTACATATTGAAATATTGTCATTTAAAGGCAGTTGAGATGGGGCTCACCTGCTAGAGCATGTACCATGAAAAAGGCTTAGTCATAACTGCAGGCGGCCTGGGTTCAAATCTGACCCCCTTTGCTGCATATCATGTCCTCCCTCTCTCTCTCTCTCTGACTTACCTGTCTCTCCCTCTGGTGAAAGATGTCTTTAAAAACTGTTGAGACAACAGTTAATGTTGCCAAAATGTCTAAAAACTTTCATCTATCAAATGTGTTTTGCTCATTTTGAAGCTAAATGTCCGGATGTCTTTTGACCTGCAACTCACAGCATCAGTGCCGGGTGGGGAGTTCATTTCCCTGCCCCTCGAGCCTCATCTTTGTCAAGCTCTTTCTCTCTGTCTGGTCCTGTCGGTCTGACTTGCGTCCTACTCTCACCTCACACCTCGCTAGTAGAAGTTACAGAATTGCCATTTCTTCCTCTGTGCTTGTATTTCTTCATTCTTTGGCATGTATCAAGCAAACAAGCTAAAACATGCCGAAGTGATACAAAGCTGCCAAGGCGAAGTCTATAAAATTGCAGATTAGATGAAGCAATTTAATCTTCCTCTTCCCTCTCTTCTGAGGTTTCCGTTCAGAGAAACAGAGCAGGGGTTTTGGGTCACATCACTGACTTCACTGCTGACTGATGTCAGCGGTAAAGTCAATCTCTGCGAGCCCTGGCCCAGCAGAGCTCAGATCTTATTATCTGAATCTTGTGGACATGCCCTGAGGATAACAAGAGCACAGCAGCAGAGGGCAGACAACTATCACCCTGCCTGGTAAACAAAGTCAGCACTCCTTTTTTTTCCTGCCACACAGATACCCAACAGGTGCAAGGTTCACAAGCAAGCTCGCAGCTACAGGAGTTCACACTGACTTGCAAACATACAAGCTCTCTCTCCCTCTTTCAGTTTTTATATTGTGTCACTTTCTCGCCCTCATGTATTCTTAGCCTGAACAGCAGTGGCGCCCTGCAGTTCTGCCCTCTGTGCTCTTGTATTTCACATCATTCCTGCTTCAACTGTTCCTCTTTCCACAGCTCTTTTTTCTATTCTTATTAACGTCATCTCTTCGCCTTTTCTTACTGTCCTCCTCCATCCACTTTCTCTGTCCTACTTTTACTTTATTTGACTCAGAACAAGCTCGCCAAAACTAAAGTAAAAAATAAAAGAAGAAGCTAAATCTGCTCATGCCATTAGATTGTGAGGCAGAGAACAGTTTGACTATGGACAGTCATCCTGATCCAGAAAAAAAAAAAAACTCAGATCAGAGGAAAGCAATTACATTTATGGATAGTTGAGGTAATTGACCATATCCTGTTTCAATTTAACACTGTGCCACAGGCCAGGCTCCTTGTTAGGTTGTGTGACTGTGAAGACACAATTTTACTTGGAGTTGTGAACGATTAATATATTTACGGTTATGCTTGGTTGTTAATTAAAGAAAAAAAGACAGTGCAGAAGGTGCTGTCTGTCAGGTAGGATGTGATTATCTAGTTATATTGTGTTGAATGTGGAGGCTTATTTTGCCCCCTGTTGGTGGGCACACCAACCAACACGACTACAATGGCCGACTCATGCTACAGAGTGTAGTGATAGGATATTTTTATATCAGCTCATTCACCTAAAAAGCCAAAATGCAGTAATATTTAGCCAAAACTGAGTTAACAAAATAACCTGTGTTTACAGTATAAAAAATATTATATATGTCGTGCAATTTTAAGAAATAACATGTAAAGCAGTAACATTAATTAACTCCGGCTAGTAAATTAGCTTCAGCTTAGGCTAGCTGTGACTGCACTCTAGCTAGCCTTAGCTGATGCTAATTAACCTTACCTTCTTACCTAATGTTTCCAACCTTTTTCCTGTAATTGAAAAATAAATTTTGACTCTTCAACATCCTTTTAACTGAGTTTGTTTTACTACATAATAAGGCAGCAGCTAAATCCAGCAGCTGTACAATATTACGATTTTACTGCTTACAAAGCTGTTGTACACATTTGCTACACAGCCTTTAAACTGCAGACCCTTTTTTTTCTCAATGTCACAGTTTTTGTAGTTACAGTGATGCATTAGCCTTTGCGTTTTGTCTTGAACACATTGTTCTATGTTCTTTCATACATCAAACTTCTTCTTATTAGCATTCAAGGCTAACTGCCAACTGTTATTTTTGCCATCAATTTATCTGGATTGTCTGTATAAAATAAAGTAACAAATGAATTTACAGTGTTAGGTAGGATACTATGCTTTCATCCATGTGTTATCAGTTTGTGAAAGGACACAAAGTCTACATACTCTTTTAGAAACCATGAACATGATCATATCATTTGGCAGTAGCTCCAGACTTGCTAACCTTTATTTTCCACGCTATATGCTCACTCTTCCATTACGACTCTCCCTTTAGGACTCCATTAAGATCAGTGCTGCTCCTTCATTTGCATGCTCTTCGCTTTCTTGTTTGCAGCCTCTGACCATCTTCCAGAGGTCCCTGACCACCATGCAGATCCAGATCCAGAGTCTGCTTCAGTTTGCTGTACCTCTGTTCCCTACAGCTGAGGTATCTCCCACATAAACACTACACTATAACTCTTGTTCTGTAGTATTTGACAGTCTGAGTAGGATTAGAAGGTGCTTAAGTATTTTTCAGTGATACGGTGACCTCTCCACAGAGAGACCTACTGGGTATCCAGCATTTGCTCAACTCGTCAGAGGCCAGTCTGCACCAGCTGACCGCCCTGCTGGACTGCAGGGGGCTCAATAAGGTTCGTACACTGCATCCTAATTGGCATCACAGCAGCACAACTAGGTCAACAGGAGAGTAAGTGGCCACGTAGGATTTCAGCATAAGACTGAAAGTGGAGCTGGGAACAGAGCAGAGAGAGGCACAAGAGAAAGAATTGGAAATTTAACAAGATCAACTTCTTCTTCTCTGTTTTTGTGTGAGTTTCCTGCACCGTCTGACTCGTACAGTATTGCTTGTTACTGCAGTGCGGTTTACATGAATAATGTGCATGATATGAATGAAGTAAATGTCTTCCTGGAGACCACACACACCAGTGCTCTAAGTGCTTGTTCATTCATCTCCGCCCCATTTTGCCTGCCGTGAATTCAAACATGGCAGTTAAGAGTCGGCTGATACGAGCGGACCGTGCGTTTGCTGTTTCGTTTGTGTTTATGTTCCGTTTGACCTCTTTAGGATTACCTGGACGCGATGGTGGGGGTGTGCTATGACGGGGTGGAGGGTGTGCTCTACCTCTGCCTCTTCTCCATCCTTGCAGCCTGTGCCTTCACTGTCATGCTGTGTGCCATTCCCAGGGCATGGAGACAAATTGCCTGCAGGTCAGTTCGTTCTCTGCTTGTCTGCCTGCCTGAGCGCCCTCATTTCCTCATCCTGCACCCATCTCTATGCAGCATCACATTCTGTGCTGTATGAGCCAACCCGTACATGTGTGTGAATATTTTTTCACAATTGTACAAGAGCCCAGTTGTTGTGCCACAAATGCAAATACTGTTGTGTGACTGCAAGGTCTTGGACTGCAAAATACCTTCTCAGAGTAGCTGATAATTCACTGGCATTAATCTGTGTTTACTGTGTGCTCCCTCCATGTAAACATACTTTCATATGAAACATTACTGTTCATCCATTTAAAGCACCATTCAGCTTGTTTTGCATGTTATAATCCATTCAGACTTACTATTGCAAAAAGCACAGCATAATATTAGATCAATTTCCCGTTTTTCACATGGCATTAACTTTATTTCATTGTCATTTATATTATCATCATGTAGTCATGCAGGTGTGAGCAGAGGCTGTTTTGAAAGCACTCGGGATATAAACTACCTAAAGGCAATGGGTTTTTTTTAACATAAGAAAACAACCAAATTATTAATAATAATAATTATCTTTTTCATCATGTCCATGTCTGTTTATTTGGTTTGATTTCCTGACAGCAGAGCGTGTGAATGCAAATCTCAGAGGTTCCTGGAGTGGTGCTCCACTCCACCACTTGAAAGAGTCCCTGCTGACAGCTGCATTATCGTACACTGATAACACAGATCTGTCAAAAAAAAAAGTGTTATCGAAATGTTGACTGTGATCAAACGCATGTGCCAAGAAAGTGTTAAGTCTCTTTAAGCTGATATTCATACTGTACTAAAGGAACCCGTGGCTTCTTGGAGTTTAAGTTCAGACAAAGCCAGGGGCTTTCAATGTCTGACACCGTGGGGCCGCCCCGCAGACAAAATTAAGGCAATTTAATAATGTTAAAGAAAATATTGATAGTCCAACAAAAAATGGATAATGGATTTTGTCACTCCTAATATTATTCTTTGTTTTACTTTTGGGGATCATCAGGCTCTAAATTTTGCAACTACAGTTCCCATAATGCTTTAGGCATTATAATGTTGGCATTCATTGACAACTTTAGCCCTGTTTTTTTTTTCATTTTGAAGCCTTTATTTGTTTATACTTTGGCAAATTGGCACCATTAAATGTATGTCGAATTAACTAGTAGCAGTTCCTGTTTGCAGTTTACCCGTTGATGCACAGACGTAGTATGACTGGATTACTTTGATAGTGAAGAAACTTAAAAAACGTGATGATTCTTAGGCAAATGGTGAAGTTACACAGTAAGGAGCATCTGTTTTTCTATGATGAGCAGATTTATTGATATTTATTCAGTATGGGCATCAGCGATAATGATATGTGTTGGCCACGCTGAATCTGTGTATTTTGTCGGTGGGATTTTCTGAGTTGTGAAGAAGAGAGATGTGACTTAGAGAGGAAGTAGCTAAATTGTCTCCATGTGTTGCATTGATAGTAGGCAAATCAGCCGGCCGAACTACAACAACTTAACTTCCCATTGTTTTTTACAACACTGACATGCATTTGTCCTTTTCACCTCACACACAGTATCTCCCCTTTAACCCTCCCGCCTCACAGTTTTTAAAGCCTCTTGACTAAGCCAATCGTTGGGCTTCTCTGCTGATGTTTCTCTCCACTTGTAGGGAGCAAGATTACGACGACATCGACGAGGAGGACCCGTTCAACCCACGGGCGAGGAGGATAGGCTCTCAGAACCCCAATCACACCAACATGCACAGCTTCTGCAGCTACAGCAGCAGCATGGGCAGCCAGAACAGCTTGCACCCGCCCGCCCCTGCTGTCTCCAACGCCCCCATGTCTGAGTACATGTGAGTGAACGGAAAAAAATGTGTGAAAATGCGATTTCTAGAATGCCTACAGCTTCTGAGTCACCTCTTTCGTTCTTTCTCAGGAACCAGACCGCTCTGTTTGGGGGGAACCCACGGTACGAGAACGTGCCTCTGATAGGACGAGGATCTCCACCCCCTTCGGTGCGTTGGGTCCCGGAGGCCAAGTCCTCCCTATGATGTCACTTCCCACTGAGCTAACAGACAGGTTTAAGCTTCAAAGCACAGGAAGTTGTCCTTACTTATAAGTCCTGGTTATATTTATTATTATATTTGAACTCAGTGACTCGGCCCGCTTCCCTCCTTTAAAGTTCACCTTTACATCACTCAAATGTGAAGCCATATTTAACAGCCTTCCCTTGACTTTTTTTTTTTTAACAATTTGTCAAAGGTTTTTAATGAGATACTCTTTCACTGCACACTGTGCCTTTTTCTGCCCTCCATAACGTACACTGGGCTGACTTACAGCAGCAAAGCAAGGAGAGGAGAAGTAATGTAGTTAATATTTAATCATGACGTGAACATCGTTTAGCCTCTCTCAGGTCAAATCCCCAAGAGAGAGCGACACAGGTCTTAACCCATACACTCGCTCACTGTTGACACTAAAGCTTTTCTTCCTTATTGAATACATTTGCCCCCCCCCCCCCCCCCCCCACTGGGCAACTTGTCTCGTGTCATACATGAGTTACATGAGGGAGATAAAAATGGAATCATTTTGGATTAAATTTTCATCGGGCACAGCCTCACATACGTGTATAGCTTGCTGTATATGTGTGTGACGGAAAACAGCATTCTGCAAGTATTTAATCATAATATTCTATTTTTTTATAAAAGGATATATTAGGTCTGTCTGTTTGATTTCGCTGAAAGGAAATAAATACCGAATCCATAGATAAAATCAATCTCACCACAGTATATCTTTTTGTAGACAAAAAAGAAAAAGAGTAAGATTGCTTTCGTGTCAGTCATCATCTTCATTAACCTTCAGCCTCTATTTCTATCCGGACCAGAAAAATGTGATGTACTTTGCCTTATGACTTCTTTCTTAATTAATACCAGCAAGTAATGTATAATTAAAGTCTCCCTCATGACTACAACTGTACAGCACCATGCAGTAGTCTTCCGCTAACAGCTTCTTTTATATATTTTTTGTTTGTCCGTTTGTCATGTGTATGTTTGTTTGTTTTTTATCTTTCATTTCTATATTTCCTCTTTCTTTTAATCAACTTTTGGAGATATACTCTCAGCAGTATAGAAACAGAGTAAGTCTTTTCAACTCTTCCTCAGGATTAACTCCACCCCCCCACCCCCACCCCCACCCCACACACACACACTTTTCCTCTGTTGCATCTCCGTCTTTTTACCTCTCCTTCATCCTCACATCACTTTGTTTGGTTCCTGTGCAGTTTTCCTGTTTGGCATGGCTTTAAACTCCCAACCTGTTGTCCTCATCCCAGACAGTCTTTACTGAATTAGTGAGGGATGTCTGCCCCTGGTGTTCACAGGGTGGTACTGTAGTTATACTCACAGTTAGCCCCTGTGCATGCAGTCCTGCTCCAGTCATTCAGTCCTGTAGCTTGTAGTGCCATGAGGTGTTTAGCACCAGGCATTTTGTAGCACTTTAGAATCTATTCCATTAGAGTTTTGACAGAACTAGAATGGTGCCATTATTACTGTTAATGTCAAAGTGTGGGAAATAAGCAAATTGTGCATTTAGTAAGGGATTGATTTCTTTTAGCGAACTCCAAATCTATGCACTGAGCTAGTTTAGTTTAACTAGCTCCCAGAAACTCCACTAAAAATCTATCATTTTAGCTTCAAATACTCAACTGCTGTAAGCCCCTAAGAGTCTGTAGCTTACTGCTTTATGGAAGGCAGCAACTATAATTAGCCCGGATTAACAGCAGTTACAATTAGAGCTGGGTATTGTTTGACAATTTAAGATACTAGCATTGAGTTTCATTACCGATAGCAACAATTACCTGAGAAATATTCTATAAGTTTTTCTACTTTCTTTTATTTAACGAAAGAATGAAAAGTTCTCAAATGTTAAATATTGAATATAAGAATCTGATGCCAGATTTTGGTACTTGACAGTATTCTGTGCTGCTGCAGAAATATTTTGGCTGAGTATTGAGGGTCATTATTCATAGAACCAGGGTTACTGCAAAGTTTGCCAAAATGTGTCACAATGTTCATTACCACTCCTGCAGCATAGTCCGCTCATTCTGTATGTTATATAGCAGAGAAGTGTTTTATGCTGCGGGAGTGGTTTGAGAAATCTCTGTGTATTTTATTAAATTTACATTCCTGGATCTTTATAATCCAATGTAACTGCTGTAAATCCAAACTGACAACATCAACTTTTCAGAACAACCTTTCAGGCCTTCAGAGAGTGAGAATTAAATGCTACAAAGACCGGTTTTCAGTGCACTATTCCTTTAAACCCATCATGACATTTTCTTCCTTTTTTAGCTGATGATTAGGTTCAGTTCATATGTGTGAAATCTCACTATCAACCCACAGAATCCACCTGTAATCTTCTCCCTGTGCGTGTCTTTGTGTTTGTCTTTTGATCCACAGTATTCCCCCAGTATGAGGGCCACCTATCTGTCCATGACCGAGGAACAGAGTAGACACTTTGGGAACGACTTCCAAGCATAGACTTCTCTGTCTGCCCGAGGAGGGAAACAGCATCTCACACACAAACGCACACACCTTCAACAAGAGAGGAGTGTGCGGCTATTCCAAGCATCACAAAGAACAGTGTGACATCTAGTTTGTCCAGGACTCCAGCCTGTGTGGTCTCAGGACAAATGAACCGTATCTGTACTGTTCTCTATGTGTGGTACACTCATAAATGATTAATCTCACTTTCCTGCCCCAAATCCTTTTGTTGAAGAACTTAATCTTAATCCGCTGTGTTCCTCGGCTACCTGACACAAGTTTTGAAACATGAACTGTATAAACCAGCCTCACGCATCGAGGGGGAAAAGGTGTGATGACCGTCTGTGGGTACCTGAGTCCTTCAGGTTAAACACCGGTGATAGAAGCAATTTTGAGGGTTAACTTCTCACTGCAGTAAAACTAAGCAACATGTTCCCAATAAGATAAGAAAAAAAAGACAATTTAAAATGAATTGTCTCTTGTTTTGCATCTACAGCCCTTCAAAGCTTTGAAAAGGAGATGTGCATCACTTCTGACAACTTACATTCAGGTCTCCAAAGAGAAAAAAAATGTGAACATGACAGCTGATGTAAACATGCCATAATATTTTCTATGTGTTATGCTTCATGCTTGATATTTGTGAAGCACAACCCCTGCACTGGCAGCACACAGCAGGAGGTACTGCTGAGATATATAATTTATTTACATTCATACACAGACACACCTGTGAGTGAAGCTTTATGTTTCTGAATCTCTGGAGACGTGACGTTGAGACCACGACTTCTGTAAATAAGTTGTACAATAACAGACTGTTGTCTTATTCTGATTTGATTTTTGTTTAAACAATGTGCCATTTTTTTATATATTTTTTCTAGTTTTTTGTGGCAATGTCACATAGGATCACTCTTCTTTTGTATTTTCTAAAGGGCCATTAATTCATATTGTCTGCATATCTAATTCAACTAATACAATAAAGTTGTAATTTCTGCCGTAATTTGGGAAGCTGTGCTGCTCTAACTAGAATTAATGAGAATTTTCAGGTAACTATTTTCATCAAAACAACCTATCCAAACAGTTTGGACTGACTAACAGTGGTTTTCCGTAGGGATTTAATACATGCAGTGTCATTTATTAATACTGATTTTGTTAAGTGTCGTTTCTTTCAGCATGTTACACCACAGGCACTGAGAGTGGTGCTTAATTTTGTGTGTGACCTCAGACTGTGGGGTCTAATTGTGAGTTGAATAAACCAGTTTTGGGTACATCTTGCTGTGTCTTCATTTTGTTGTTGGATGTTAATGGGTGGGTGCACATGGGAGAGTGTAATCCACACCCATTGCTTCACACAGTATCTTTTCTCACAAGATAAAAAATGCAGTCTTTAAAGGGGATTTATCTGAGCTCATAAGTGGAAAAATTCACTACACACTTACTAGTTACAGCTTTCCTGGCCTGACATTTGTGCGATCAAAAATCAAATATTACTTTTGACTTTTTTTTTTGTCAATGGTAGATCATTACAGTATGCCAAGAAACTGAGTTTGGTGACTTTATTATCATCATCTTCATGAAAGGAGACAAGTGAAAAACCGTCAGGAAAAAAACCGCCAGGAACTGATCCCCCAAAATGACTGGTGCGTGTATCTGATCATTTTCAGGTGTTTTTAATTAAATATCTTTGGTCTTCACATGGTGGCCACAACAAACTGTAACTGTAGTCTCAGTAAGGTAATTTTTTAATTCTACCAGCAGATGTCAGCATAGTGTTACAGACAGTGCTGCTCAGTACAAGCTGTATTACTGTTAATGTGCTTGTTGTTCTGCATGAGAGGCTGTTGTGGTTGACTACAGTACAGAATATTTTGGGTTGGAAAACTTTTAAAGGTAGAAGATTAAACATGAACAGCCAACAGTTACAATGTGTTAATTTTTGATTTGTTAATTTTTTTATTTTTCATAAAAAATAAATCCAGGTCATACCATTTGTTTTGTGTAGCATATATATTTTTATGTATTTATTTAAGCAATGAAAAAGACAAGCCCACACGTTTTTATTTTAGAAACGGAAGTGCTATTGTTTACAGTAGCCAGCTTAACACCGGTGCTCCGCGGATCTCCAGGGACAACACACACACACGCACACGCACACGCACACACACATACACACACACACACACACACACACACACAGCAGCAGCAGGGCAGCGGAGAGGAGCGACAGACAGGGATAGGGAAGTGAACGCAGCAGGTGGGCTGTTGCTGCTGCCGGTGTTACCTGCCTCTCTCCGGCTCTCCTTCCTGTCTGCCTCCGCCAGGTAAATTCTCCGCTCGTGTTCGTGTTCTTAACCTGTTGAGCGGAAACACACGATGAGAAACGGAGGAGCGTCGACGCACTTTGAAGCACGAAGGGGGAATTGAGCTTGGACTCGACTGATAGTGAGACAACAGGTCGTGAAGTAAGAGAGACACGACGGGAAAGCTGTGAGCTCGTTGGTAGCTCCTGTTTTTACTCCGCAGAGACAGTCAGAGACCGTTACAGCAGCTACACAGAGCCCGCGAGTAGTTGAGTGTGTGTACGGAGAGCTGCAGGTGGTTTATTTCAGAGGGGGTGGCGGCAGGTAGCGAGCAGGATGGTCCAGTGTCCCGTCTGCTGTTGACGCTCATTATCCTTCTCTCTGACCGAAAGTGACCATGAAGGACACGGGGGACTCAAAGGACCACCAACTTACTGTGAGTTTACACTAACGTTACTATCTGTCCTTTGTAATGTTGCTTTTTATTCCAAATATCCTCAGACACTCAGTGGCCACTTTATTAGGTACACCAAGTTCACTTCTATTGTGCTATTGGTCAGTTTTTGTTGACTGTATGAAATGTGTACATTCAAGTATGTGTTTATTTATCCATAGTTAAAGATGGTGGTATATTATACTGAGAGATGTTTCTAATTTATTGTCCTTCCTATATACATACATGTATGTGGCAGAATTTGATGTGAAACACTTCTGAATAAAATGCAGACCAGTACAACACCACCACCCACTATGACCTCACAAACATATCATTTATTTAACACCTCTGTGAACATTATAGGTTTCATAAAAGTAGATTTATAGCAGAACAGTTCTGTTGTACTGTACAGGTGTACCTAATAAAGTGTCCAGTGAATGTATTTTCTTTTCTTTTTTCTTTTTTCTTTTTTTTAAATAACTAACTAACAGACACAATAATTCCTAACAGACTGCCTTGTTGGTGTTAAGAACTGCAACAATCGGTCAATTAATTGTTTGGTTGATGGAAAGAAAATAAATCAGCAACTATTTTGATAATCAATTGATCATTTCAGTCATATTTCAAGCAAAAATGGCAAACATTTGATTGGTTCCAGCTTATTTTCTCACTCTTACATTATAAAAAAAGGAATATCTTTAGGTATTCAACCTGGTGCAGTTGGACATTACGATGGGAGTTTCTAACTGTTTTCTGATGTTTTACAGACAAATAACTAATGGACTAATGGAAAGATTAACTAATAACAGAAATAACCATTAGCTGCAGCCCTATTGATGTTATATGTTAGTTTTCCCAGCCCCTCACCACCTGCACTGTGTTCTGCAGCCTATATCTGAATTATTGAAGTGGCTGTTTCAGTTGCCTGGCCTCTCTCTTGTCCAGCATGTAATGCACTTTCTACAGGGTGCTGACAGAGGGAAGACCTTATTATTCTACCACTGTTGCTCTTGTGGTACTAAGGTGGATTAGTATTATTATTATTACAAACACCCCAGAAAAACCCAGCCATGCTGTGGTGTGTACATCTGAGTTGTTCCTAATGGTTACATATGCCAGCTAGCCTCCACTGCTGTGATTGCTATTGTCTGGTTTCATCCCATTTTTCTCCCATTAAAAGCCTTTTTTACTACTCCGTGTAAAAATCCTGCAGGGAGAGAAAATCTTAACAGCAGGGTGACTCTGAATGAGTGTATTAATGTAATAATTCAATCGTTCAATTGTGTATCTGCCAAATGCTATCCAGGAAAGGCTCATTTAGCCTTTAAAACTACAGGTGTCTGTTTCACATTTGAGATGAGTGTTGTGATAATATGTTATCATTATAATTTGTCTCATACTTTTTGCAGGTGAATTGACAATAATTAGACTGTTAAGCGATTAAAATGGACAATGGAATAATATTAGTCCCTCCATTCATCCATCTGTTTTCCATCACCTTCACCTTCATGTGACTTATCCCAGCATGCACAGGGCAGAGGGCAGGGTACACCCTAGACCAGGCACAAGTCTGCCACAGCGCTAACACACATTGGCAGTCAAACACATTTAAACTCATATTTATATATAAGGGAAAATTGACTTTCTGGTCGACCTAACCTGCATGTGTTTGGACTGTGTAGCTGGAAACTAGATAGAAAAAAAAACGTGAAAATGAGGATAATAAGCAAAATTCTTAAAGAAAAAAACATCAAACAGGGTTTGGTTTAAACCCAAGGGCCTCTAAATATGACTGTTCTTTATTTTTCTAGTTGCATGGAAAAAAAATCTTGTGCTTGACATTTAAAAGATTACTCATGCAGTTGTTGTATTGCAGGTGCCCAAATTTATTGAGAAATTTCTTTTGAAAAAATGGTCAAAATCGATGATGCAGAGGCAAAGATATCCAGACTTTTAGTCCCTGTTAACGTTTCCATTCCTACACCTCCCAGAATGCAATTCAGTAATGTATTTTGTTTATACTGTCCCTACTTGATTATATGACCACATTTTCAAAAATCTACATCCCCTTTTTAAATCTCAAGGTAAAATGATCCTGTTGAGGTCTTCAGGGGTTATTTTCTGAGACTTGACAAAGCTCCTCCTCAGAGTCGAGTTTCCCTTATTACCACCTACACTGCAACTGACAAATAAACCAGACTTCTTTCCTGAACCACACTTTCTTGCATCTGCAATTACAACTGCATCAATACAGACTCCTTTGTAAAGAAGAGCTCATTTAGTGTATAAGCCAGAGCGCTCTTATGTGCTGTCAGTGTCATTTCTCCCCATCATTTTCCAACCTGTAATTTCAGTAAATTGAATATCTCTGTGTCGATTAAATTGAAGGACGACTGAACTCACTCTGTGTGCCCGCAGGTTGCCTTGAGGATCCGACCCCTCAGCGATGCTGAGCAGGAGGAGGCGGCTACGATCGTGGCCCACAGAGTGGACGACCAGGTGAGATGGCCATCCTTTATTCTACTGCTCTCTGTGTGTGTGTGTGTCAATATCCTGTTCACCTCTGTGCATGTGAGTGAGTGATGGGGGTCAGTGTGTGTGTGTGTGTGTGTGGGAGAGGGCTGTTGTCTCCGTTTCAGAGCCCTCTTCCTGCCTGTCACGAGGCCTCACAGATAAGGTATCTGCAGGGACCTCGGTAAAGCCAGCAGCTCCTTTTTTTTTTTTTTTTTTAAAACAGCTCGTTTGTGAAGCTCAAATGTCACATTTAATTTGTAAACGAACGCTGGATGACTCAGATCCGACGCAAAGACGGTGACCTTTCTGACGACTCATAGAGAGCTACAAATTCTTTCATAAGCAGACGGCTGACGCTTCGCTACAATGAAAGCCCGGGGTTTAATTGGACATCAACAACTGCAGAGTTGTCTAACTGTTCTAACATAAAACATTTGTGCTGAAGGCAATTCAGTATCTCAGTGTGTCTGTCTGACTTGAATGATAACACACACTAACACAGAATTAGAGCAGCCAGTAATAATTATTTCTGTTATGGATTCATCTAAGAGTTATGTTGTCATTTTCAGCTAATTAGTTAGAAACCATTCCACATATTCAGCACTCCTATGAAATTGTCAGACTCACGATGGAGAGTTATTAAATCTCTTAATCTTTTATATTCCACACATTCTTCTCCCTTGTCAATATCTGCCACCCATTACCCACAATGCAACTTGACTGGTGACAGTTCAGCTAATGTAGCCTCAAGCCACTAGCCTCGGGTAGGGATGAGAGGTCTGGTAAGTTTACTTTCTTTAAAACTCCACGCCCCCGGATTTTTATTCATCTTCACACTTGTAGTCTTCAGGTTACATCAGGTCACAGACAGTTTAATCAGATTCCTTTCTTCCTCTGGAGCCAGAAAAGGCTTTAAACAACTTCTTTCACATATGCAGTATGGAGGAAATTGCCTGTAAAACACTCCAGCTCTTCTAAAATAACACACAAAAGACTGATGGACTGAAGAATATAGGAGACAGTATCTTACAGGAGTCAGAACTCAGAAGGATGTGCCTCTGAGAAGGGTAAAAGATTTGAGTATTTATGATGTTCCAGCAAAAACAGAATTCACAAATGACTGGCTCTTTGTTAATAACATGAGATCGTCATCCGACAGAAAACTGCAAGACCTTAGAGAGAGTCAAGGTCGATGTCGGCGTTACCTTATATGTTAGCTCCAAGTGACCACAAGCAACAAATCACTGAGAAAACACACTTGTCTGCGGCTCCTTCAGGGACACACTGAGGATAACTTATTTTATTTCTTCTATCACCCAGAAGGATTTTTTGATATTTCTTAGATCCAAATCTTCAATCAGATCAGTCTTGAAAAGTAATTAATGCCACTTTTTGTGCCAATTAAAGACACATGTACCGAACATAAAACAAACAAATACCCGACTGCAATTTGATAATAGTTACTGCTGCTGACATCTGTTGTCGCTGCTGTTAATTTGCCAGCCAGCTAAAACACGCCAACCATCACACCAGCCTTCACTCATATGTTGTTTGATTTTAAAATATCGCTGCTGCTGCTGCTACCGGCTTGCTGTTGCTTACTTCTGTCGCTGCCACTAACTGCTGTGTACTATGGCCATCACTGCATTGCTTGCTGAAATTCCTATATGACACACCTTCAAGGACTATTAGTTCACCTTATGTGTCTGTTAGAGCTGAAACGACTAATCAATTAACAAATTGTATAAGAAAATGTTTAAGAAATGTTTTAAAACTCACATGATGCAGCTTTTCAATTGGGAATATTTTCTGTGACCGGCGTTTGCCATTTGCTGACAAATGCTGACCAAACAATTAACCAATTCATTATGAAAGTAATGAGTAGATTCATCTATAACAGAGATAATCATATTCTATATTTCAGTCATCTAATATGTTGACATTTGAAAACAGATAATACCAACAGCATTATGCCAGACTGTGTTCACTCTATTTCCTCTTGTGTCTTTTTTCCTGACCGGTTTTGAATGGCTTTCTGATTTATTTGGCAACTAAGCTGCTTTGAATGGAGCCATTATGCTAATTGTATTTTCCATTAGAGTAAACCATGACAGGAATGTTTCTGAATGAACAGAATGTAGATTGTCTAACAGCAAAGAACTATTGTTGCGTATATATATATATATATGTTATATAAATTAGACCACAGACATGGATTATTAATTGAAGCTGTATAAAAATATTTAAACTGACAGGGCCTAGATTGTTGTCATACAGCAGAGGTGTTTATTCCTGAGAAGATCTTGTCCTTAGAGCGCGACCCCTGCCCATATGTAATCAGGTTGTTACCATGTGATCTCCCATATGGGAGGGACATACAGTATGCACGAGCCCCATGAGGACCATATTTACTGCCAATCCTTGCTTTTGAACTGGTCCCTCCTGGAGACCATTTAGCAGTACCACTGGTGAGTGTGTGATGATGATGAACACAGCGCGAATGATAATGAGCATCGTTTCTTGGAAACCTGCTGAGGTGCCTTCCTCACTCTGCGTAGGCTGATTGAGGTAATAGTGGGCAGCTTCTCTTAACAAACTAAGACGTAGCCAGAAAATGTAACAGCCACAGCAACAGCTGACACGGTGAGTCAGATTTGCCTCAGTGTGACAGTGACAAATGCTAGAGGGAAACATTATATTCACGCAAAGGATGTGATCAGTGGTGTCTCATGCTGCCGAAGGATTTCACTACAGAACGTTTCTCGAAACAGATAATCCGCGGCGCTGAGGTCTGACTTGTTTGTCTGTTCTCTCAGAAGTAATTTAATTACACCAAGTCTTAAGGACAACATCAGCACTTCTGTCTGCCATGACATCATTAAAACAGGCTTGGACTCATGGGATTAGAGCGTAGCAGCAAGCAGGCAGGCAGATATGCCACAACACCACGTAGCCACCACAATAAGGCTTTGTTATTGTCTCTGTTCACCTGCAGTTTGTTGACTTTAGGCCTGAATAGTACAGTTCAGACTGTATTATGTCTGTGGAGAGAATCAGAAATGGACAAATATGCTGTATTGTCTCTGTGGGGTTACATTAAGTTCACTCAGGCACATTCGTACTGAAGGATTAGTGGAATTTACAATACACACTTGTTATTGAGACAGTGGGATTGTGGGAATCTACTGTTTACCTGGGGTTTACCTGGACTGCCCTTACATGAATGGAGGGGATGTAGGTCACAGCAACACCGGGATGGGATTATAGTGCAGGGGATAGTTTACCTGTAGCTGTCACTCTCACCCTAAACCATCTCCTGTCACACAAATATATACGGATAAATTCATACAGATAACACCTTCAAACTAGGACTGAATGATATGCAAAGGATGCGATTATTTTGGAAGACATTGCGATTGTGATACAAGTCAGGATTTCATTTGAAATGGTAATTTTTGCGTTTCATTTTCACAGAAAAAATCATAAATGATGATGTGATTTTTGTCGGGTCTTGTACCAAGCATGTTTCTTTGTATAATATTCTGGAGAATATTATTTGTAGGCCAGGGCGTCTCTGTAGCACCACAATGTTTCATTTATGACACATTTTACCTTTTATCAAAAGAATTGTAGCCAATGATTTGAATATTGCACTTTGCCAAATTGAGATTTCGATAATATTTCGATTTATTGTGCAGCCCTACTTCAAACACACACACACACACACACACACACACACACACACACACACACAACATTTCCACATGCTGTCCTTTTGCAAACACACACAACTATGTTGTGATTAGTTCTTTTGCGAGACAGACAAGCAAGGCAAGCAGGCATTGGCCATATGGCCTACAGGTAGTGCTCAGACAGATTAGCAGGGTGCCGGTGGCTCACTTGGCTGACTGGGTGGGAGTACCCAGATCTGGCCGTCCTGGCAGAAAGCAGACAACTCGAAGCTGCCTAAGCCTGCGGAGATGAGCTCATTGGATGGGTTTTAGCTCAGGTTAAGCCTTTTGCCACCTGCTCTCTTTCTCTCTCTGGCTTACTCGCCCCCCCACTGACGGCCTCAGGGGATCCAGCCACTGGCTTTCATGGACCACCTGTTGCCTGTTGTGCTCAATGGGCTTTCCTTGTCCTTGAGTGAGTAGGTCAGAGGTATACTGTGGTGGATTTATGAATGAGATATTGATGGAACATCAGTCATTGGAACTGATCCATCTTTCTGAGAAAGACGATCCCAATCTGCGTACTGTACAAGATAGAGGAAGGCTTTTTGAACAATTTTAATGAGTGTCATGTAATTACATCTTCATGGAGGCAAGAGGCGGAGTGTTCTGGCTTTTTAATGACACAGTTATGCGAAATTACTAAACTAGCCCAGCCAGTTTTGTCTGGGACACACTGAACAGTGAAAACTGCGGCCATCTCAATTTGTTATGGGACAAAAGAACAACCAGGAAGACCAGAGTATGTTTTATTCATGTTTCACTCGTTTTAAGGTGTAAAGAATGATGAGAAACAAGTTCTAACAAGTTCTAAATCAGAAACAGGAAAACATCATCGTTAAAAAATGGTTGTGATCATTTCTCGTATTGAAAAAGGTTGTTGTTAGGTGTTAGAGTGGCTTTGAATGCAACAATGGGTTGGTCCCTACACATCTTGATACTGTAGCTGTACTTGCTTTTTTTTAATTATTGCCACTATGATATTAACCTGTTTCAAGCAAGTGTGAGGTTTAAAAATAATTTTACTGCAAAATCAAAACATCACAAAGCTCTGAAAATTAGTAAAGTATCACATCTTGTCCCTCAGTAAAAATAAAAATGAAAAACATACATTGTTTTTATTTGCCTTTACATTCTCAACTGATCACTACTGAGAATAGCCTTGGTTGGACAGTATTCCACACTGGAGTAAAAGACCCAGAGAGGTGATATCATCCCTCCTTAAGAGGCTAACAGGAAAGCTATGTTTAGCCC